GTTACAGAAAGGTACTGGGCATTTTTTACCTTAATGCAGAGAAGGCACTAGCCTAGTCTTTAGTACTTTAGAAAAAAGCCTAGCCTTTAGTACTACCTTACTAGTACTGACATTACCTAAGGTCACATTACTGTTAGAACGTTACAAGCTACTGCATATACAGGTGAAACTCGAATAATTAGAATATCATGCAAAAGTAATTGCAGTAAGTGCTGCAAAAGGGGCCCAAACCAAGTACTGAGTACATATGCATGCTTGTACTTTTCAGAGGTCTGATATTGTTCTATGTACAATCCTTGTTTTATTGATTGCATGTAATAATCTACTTTTTTGAGGTTGTGGATTTGGGGTTCTTGGGGTTTTCATGAGCTGTAAGCCATAATCATCACAATTATGACAAATCACGGCTTGAATTATCTTGCTTTGCATGTAATGAGTCTATCTCATATATTAGTTTCACCTTTTAAGTTGCATTAGTGAAATAAATGAACTTTGCACGATATTCTAATTATTCGAGTTTCACCTGTAATGGATAACATTTTGGTTTGTACAGTGGTGTAGTATAAAAGGCTTTTGTTATATTTACTGTACACATAAAACTACCACACATTTGATTTAAATATACTGAAAAATGTATAATTGTAAACACTGCATGGAAATTGGTCAAATAAATGCAAAGTATCCTTTTAATACGTAACCTTTCTGATTCAGATATATTATAGATTACTATATAAGAAAATATATCCTTTGGTGGTATAATAAAACAAATTTATTTTCAGCAATTGTGCCACATTTAGGAAAAGAATTGATTGTAACATTTCTTAAAAATGGCCCTTATTTTTTGATCAGAAAACTCTTATCCAGGCACCTCATAACAAATAACATACTTCCATTTTTCCCTGATATTTTCAAGTGTGTAAATTTTATTTTCGTTGAGAAGCAAGAGAATATAACACACAGACCTTGCCTTGTAACACTTTCTGTTACATGAAACAAGTGAGAGACAAGGTAAGAACTGTTAAATTGCCCTCTCAAACATTATTGAAATACAATAATTAAAAAGTCTTCCCCGTAATAAAGACAGGCTTGTGATATCTACACATAAATTTAAAGGAAGACCTCCCACCCTCTAATTATGTATGCATACTTTCTGTTTAAAATGTAAAAATATAATCTAAAACACAGTGAATTAAAGTTGCTTTAAACAGGTGGCCTTGAGTGTCTGTTGTTTCTTGATTATTTGGCTCTCCCAAATAATACGCCTGTTGATGCGTGAGAATAGGACACAGATACACAGTAATCTGAAATCCTATTCAAATGAATAAATAAATAATTAAATAAATAAATACGCACTCCTCATGTTCACAACAGACAAGCCGGTGCCAACATAGACAAATTAAATGCAATTTTAAAATGCATTCTAAATACTGTATGTTATGACACCAGGCCGATTTGCTGGATATACAAGAGAACCACTGATGTACAGGTATGTCCAGTAAGCTGGTGCAGTAAAGCACCAGTCAACATTAAAAATTGAATGTCTATAGTTATTGCATTTAATTAAAATATTTCAACAATTGCTCTTTTGCTATGTATAAAGTTTTACATTTTTGGGTTTTTGTAATGCGGGCTATACAGCATTCATACAGCAGTCCCCCTCTTGCAAAATCATTAAAGGTTGGTTAGGAAAAATACATGATGCCTTGTTAAATTACATAATTTTAAGTCCATGATGCTTTGTCCACTGTTGTGCTCCCACTAATTCTACCTATAAGTCCATAAATGTTCATCACTTTAGAATGAGGTTGCAGGAGTCCCTGTACCATACACACATGTCCTCAAAGATTAAAATAAAAAGGTGAGTTTCATGAGAGAGGTATTGCAGAAACTCACAATTCATTAATTGCGAACATTATTACTACTTCTCAGAATTCAAAGAATCCAGTCTTGCTTACCTATAACTGCTTCGTTCAATCAAAGCTTTGCAAATCATTATATAAAATAATACAGACTTCCTAACAAATATTTCACATTCCATAGTAAGCTCCTATAAGCATTCAATCTGCTTTACATATTTTGTAAACAACGTATCCTTGTAAATACTTTCATTTCATTTGAAAATCTACAATAGAAGAGCCTACAAATAGCCTTCACATTTCAAGTGGCTATGCTCTTTTTGCGGAGGCTGTGCCAAATAGCTGCCAATTGAAATAAAAAGCTCTACGTAGGCATGTTAACATATGCATATACAGTTTCATTCAGGCATATATGTATAGATGTAATTGGCCAGCATCTTCCAAGAAAATGTTTCTTCTTTTCAGAAGTAATCAGAGGGAACATAATGTGGGTTATAAATATCAAGGATTAGAGATCAGCTAGGCAGGAGAAAATGTTCTAGACAGTAAGTAATGCAGTCCCAATGCCTCCAGAGTGTGAGCAGGGAGAGGAGGAAGAGTAGGGACGACAAAAGGCGTAGGCGTGTTTTCATCAAAGGTGTGATAAAACTTGCAGCCGTGGATACAAAAACTAGAAGGACAGCCATGAGGGCTAGCAGCACATTGATGAACTTGCCTAATAGAGCACGAGCATTGGCATTTTCCACTCCTTCTAACTGTACAACCTGTTGTTGTTGCTGCTGCAGCTCCAATTTAGTAATGCGGGTGAGACAAGACTCCACAGCTTCCTAAAAAAAGTAATCAGATAGAAGCATAACTTTGAAAGAATGCAATCATGCACGAAATACAGTATGGTGAATGGTTTAAGTGGTTTGCTCGTGAAAAACTAATCAGGTTTTGGTAGATGCTGTTGAGTGAAGACTGTTGTATATCCATTGGGGTCTTATAACTCTGTTAGTTCAATAGCAAAGTATTTGCCCTTGAACTACCTGGTCTGCGCTTCTGCTGTGGTCATTACAAGGGGATCACATTTCCCCATTGGCCTTTTAATTCCGTTAGCATTACAGAAAACTCTATGAGATGCCATTGCTGGAAACTTGCACTGCAAAAGAATTTTCCACAATTCTCATGCAGCACAGAACTCTTCACTGCAAGAGAATTGTGGAAAAGAAAAACAAAGATACAGTACACTTGGCTTGATATAGAACAGTCTGCTGAGTATGCTGAGCTTACATCCCTTGTGATCAGAATGGAAGACTTTTTTTTCCTTTTTCTTTAGTAAGCACCGCTGGTGTGCTCTTATTCAGTGGTTCTTTCTTGTAAGAATTACAACTAAACCACTAAATAGTTAAAAGTTTTGCTGGGAGTGGGCAACAGAAACTTCTCAGACCAATCACAAGAAATACTGACTGGGAGATCACTTGTTAGGTTATTGCTGAATATTGCAGTTAATGCAGTGTGATTTAGAATCAGTGTAACAAATTTGTGAAACACTACATGATAAATTTGCATACCTTGGGTGGGCAGGTCTTTTTTTGTTTGTGGACAGAATTTGATACATTATTAAAACAAACACATTGATTACATTTCATAACACTGATACTTTATTTAATATTGTTATATAAAGAAAAAAAAATCCTCACCTCTGAGGTATTGCTGTCTGGCAAATTAGATATATGAGCCTGGATACACATAGTTACAAGGCCATTAACTTACAGGTTTCCTGGCATGCAGATACCTGCTGAAATACCAATTAGCACAACGAGTAGCCAATAAACAGCTACCACAAAAAAAAAAGCCATCAGCAGTGCTTAACGGAAATAAAGCTCTTCCACACCACACATGCCTGAAGGAGACACTGAAAACCTTGGCATAGGAGATTTGTGTGCAGGCTACTAGTATAGGTATTGGTGCATCCCTAATAACAAGTAACACAAAACAGAAAATAATTTTAAGATTAGTACAAATAAAAAATATCTTTTTCTCCCAGCATTCATGGCAAGACATAGCATTCAAAGCAGTCCCAAAAATAAATGTGGAAAATATATGCTAGCAGTAATCTTCAAGAACCATAGTGTGACCAAATCACAACACTGAAAGTATAATCATGAACCCAAAAGTTGCATCAGCCAAAGCCGTTTCATCCAAGCAGGGAAATTTAGTAAAATTGTGCACTGAAGACATGGTAGCTTGTATTCCATACCTGGAAACCAGATGTGTCTGATACCAAAAGGCCCAGAGTGCACTAGGAAATAGCTGAACTAGATTATGTAGATCTGTTGTGTGGAGCTTCCAGAATAAGAAATAGGGAGTTTGCCATGCAAAAGGAAGCTGTTGCTATCAAATAAACCCTGACAGCCCTGACACCATCTAGATAATGAAAACAATTAGGGCTGCAGCTAACGATTATTTTCATAATTGATTGGTTAGCCGATTATTAACTTCGATTAATCGGATAGGATTAAGCAACTAATACCGTCATTTATTTAAAATAAAATACACAAAAGCAGCTTTGCTATAAAGTTTACTTCAGAATAAAACAGTATGCACAATGTTTGCAATCGTACTGCACTGGAAAGCAGGGCATCGCAGTACCGCGCATTCCAGTGCGGGCGATCACACTGCGGACGGGAGGTGCATTTGGTATCCATTGAATGAATGGCACCACAATGCACCTCCTGCAGCAACATTTGTCAGGCCGAAACTGAAAATTACTTTTCCCACCATATATACACTGCGTGGCCAGATTATTATGACCACCTGACGTTTGTAGGTAAATTAGCTATAATTAGCTATAATTTCGCGCTGAAGTTGCTAGAGGGCCAGACCATTATAAATAGGGAAGCAGGTTGTTTACCACAACATTAGAAGTTATTTTTTTCTGAAGATATGGGTAAACAATGCGATTTAACAGCCTTTGACAGCTGTTTGATTGTTAGCGCTCAGAGCCATGGAGTGAGTATCAGCAAAACAGCAGACTTTGTTAAATGTTCAAGAGCAGCTGTTGTTAAAGTGTTTAAAGACTGGACTGCCAGCCGAAAATCAGGTTCTGAACGTGCGTATTGTGGCCGTCAGCGACTAGTCAATGTTAGGGCAGAACGAAGAGTGGCAAGACTAGTACAAGACAACAGAAGGGCAACAGTGCAGTGTCAGATTCCTTGCATCTCCTTTCAACATCTCGTGGATTCACGAGGCGGTCCAAGGAAGTCATCTCGTGGAGTCATCTCGTGGCCCAACGAAGTACTGATGAGGTGGTCATAATAATCTGGCCACTCAGTGTATATATGGGGGGACAATATAGATCAACGTGGGGACAATGCTAGTAACCCCCTGAAGAAACCAAGCAGAAGCTATGGGTTGCTGGAACAAAATTGCCATCTGGAAACTGGATATAGCTTTTACTGGTGCTCAACTCCAGACACTAGACCAGGGGTGCCCACAAGGTCGATCGTGATGCCCTCTCCTCCCGCCGGTGGGGCTTCTCTGGATCCCCGCTGCTCTCCCCATCTGTATGTAGCGGGGATCCGAGAAGAAGTGAAAGAACCGCTGCAGCCCGCGGCAGAGGACGGAGCCGCTGTCTTAGAACTAATGCCGAGCCGTGAGGAGAGAGAGAGACGCTCGGCCTGGATCTGACAGGCGGCGCCTCTCTCTCCCCTTACTGCTGGACCTTAGTTCTGACAGCGGCTCCGCCCCCCGGATGAAGGGCTCTTTCACTTCTCGTCGGATCCCCCGCTGCCTCTGCCCGGGAGAGCATGGGTGATCCAGAGGAGAACCTGAGCCCCCGTGTGCGTGGCCAAGCGGCAGGGGATCGGTACATATCAGTGATATGTACCGGTCCTCTGTGCAGGACAAACACTGGAGCGATCAGCTGATCACTCCAGTGTTTGTAAATAACTGGGGACACATAGTACTATGTGTCCCCATTTATGAATGAACAGAATATACATCACTTCCTGTTCATTCATGAGTTTCTCAATGGGGAGAAGCACTCTGTACAGAGGCTCCTCCTCATCCAGAAACTGCTTGATAGTAAATATTTTCTTAATGAATGGGAAGCCTCTGTGCTTTCCATTCATTTAGAACAGAGGCTGCAGAAAAAGAGATTGAGGACTTTGTGTCCTCAATTTCTTTTTCTATTTTAAAAGGGAAATAGGGGGGAAGTTTAGACCCCTAATATTTCCCCGAAACCCCCCCAAGAGTAAAAAAAAATTAAAAGAAAAAAAGAAATAATGAAAAGAAAAAAAATAGTAAAAAATAAAGAAAAAAAACATTTTTTCTTGCCTCAGGCGCAAAAGGAGCTGCCTACGGCTATGCTCCCGCGGTGCTTGTGCGGCTGTCGGCTGAATGTGTCAGACGCTGCAGATGGAAAGGGGCGGGACACCTCTCCCCATGTACAACGTCGGCCACGTGAGCATCACGTGAGGAAAGGACACCGGCACCTCTAGGGAATGTATGCCGGCTGACTCCCTGCGTTCAGGTGCGGGAGGGCGGTGTGGGGTTGTATTGAAGTCAATGGCACCGCAGCCATGCCCCCCGCCCACAGTGTGATCGACCGCACCCGGAACGCAGGCACCTTAGTGCCTGCATTCCGGTCCAGTGCGATCTGAAAAAATAGTGCTCGCAGTATTTTTGCGGATCGCACTGCACTGGAACGCAGGCACTAAAGCAGGCGATCGCACTGTGGGCGAGGGGCCTGTCTGCGGAGCCTGGCTACGGTGCCATTGACTTCAATGCACCGCCACGCCCCCTCCCGCTCCTGAATGCAGGTGTTTTTTCGTTGGTAGATCTCAATGAGCTTGTCATTTTAAAAGTAGATCTCCAGACGAAAAATTGTGGATGCCCCTGCACTAGACCATGACCAACTGAAAAAACTCAGGATGCAAGCAACCCATGAGGTCCTAGGGTTAACATTAAAAGCCTCACCCCATCTGACAAAAGCTTTCCAGGTGCCATGGCACACCCAGTGAGAAGAGGCCTTGCTCTCTCAGAACCTGGAATTCATGCTATGCCATTAAAACTAGCTACTGAGAAGCAGGTTGATCAAATTTTTTAGGCTGGCTACTTTAAACTCTACAACCACCTCGGATCCCCCAACACACGCGTATAGAGTCAGTACCAAACTGACATAACTGGAAACATGTATATAGAGACACAATCAGTACCATACTGACACAACTAGCAACATTTCTGCAGAGAAAGAATACTTATGAACAGTAAAAAAATCATCAAATATAAATTGCTAAAGAAGCAAGGGCTAACAATAAAATGTTCATGTTCACTTTGAGCTTTACCACTATGCTATGTTACATGAAAAAATAACTAATGTGATAAAATTGTAATCAGAAGGCTTTGTTTACATTTGAGATAAATATATGGAGAAGCACAAATTCCATAAACGTTGCATTGGAAAAATTACAGGAAAATGCTTTTTTTCAAATTGTTTACACCAATAATAAAAGGAAATAAACCTATACAGTATGTATTCACATTTGCTACCAAATTAATAATAATTATAATATATTAAATTATTATATTTCCTGAAAAAATAATATATGTTAATATAATATATTAGGGTAAACAGATTACAAAACCCAAGCTATACCATGCAGAACTAAGACATCAACAAAATGACAAAAAAAAAAAGAGTGAAACTTAGCTGTAAAACTGACAGCCCACTTCTGCAAGGTGTCAGGTGATCAGGTAAACTGATTTAATCTGTTGGGCTAGACTGTCAGTTTCACAGCTGGTACTGTTCTGTGTACATTACAATATGCAAAAACTGGTACAG